GAGAGAGAGAGAGAGAGAGAGAGAAAGAGAGAGAAAGAGAAAGAGAGGGAGAGAAAATGTGACATCTTTGCAGAAAGACAGAGATACTTTTTTTAAAATCTCCCTACACGAGAATCAAACTCAGGTCCTCTGGAAGCAACAATGAAGTGTTTCAGCACTACAATACATACACCTTTACTCAAGTAAATAATGTGTGCAGTTTATGATATAAAACCAAAAGATAAAATAAGAGTTACTACTTCTGCACTTGACATACATGTTTCTGTGCATATTAGGCCAAAATAGTCACGAGTACTTTTGGGACGTGTTTTTCTTGAAATCACACGAGACAAAAACGAAAAAGAAACATCACATTTAACTTACTTGTGTTTGGGAACATATTCCGTCAAAATCATCCTCAGCAGATTTAAAGCAGCTTTGAACACCTGAAACCAAAAGGAAAAAATCATATTCTAGGGGACAGGAAAAGATTTGCAACAGTTTGTGACAATAGATCTTGTGAGTTTATTAGTGTTTGAGCCCTTAATCAGCTGCTTTCACTGTATGCTTCCTCGGAAGCTGAGAATGATTCTGAGCGTTCTGTGGTCTGCTGGGGGTAATAATATAGTGTGTAAAGCGCATAAAGCTTGCTGTCAAGCGGGGATATGTGCTATACAAATGCTATTTATTATTTATTATTATTAGGTTCAACGTTACCAATTAAAATATAAAGACAAAGCTACATGTAAAAGCGCCAGTAAAAATGTCAAACCTTGACTTCGGGAAAAGTTGCCATTTCATAGATAAAGTTTTTAGCATCGTCGCGGTTCCTCACAGCCGTGTCTCCGGCCTTGTGCAGAAGGTTCTGGAGGCTTTTCTCTACAGCGTACGATGTGTCTGCTTTCGTGATTCTAGGAGGGGGCAAAACGAAGAAAATGATTACAGCATACGGTGAGCCGGATTTTTTTAGATTCAGGAGGCGGGAGGGCAAAAAGGTGGAAAAAAATTACTGCGTATGATATACTGGCTTTTGTGATTCTGAGGGGTAAAACAAAGAAAAGAATGAACAGCTACCATTTCATTTATATGGACAGCACTTATTTATAGAGTTATCATGTCATGTGATAGCTGTGAGGAAGGGAGTCAGTGTAAGTATGAGAGAGAGAGAAACAGGGATACATAGAGATACAAAAGTGAGAGACATAGAGAGAGAGAGAGAATGAAAGAGAGAGGGGGGGGTACAGAGA